ACCCTAAACCCTGAACCTTAACCCCTAACCACTAACCCCTAAACCCTAAACCCTGAACCTTAACCCCTAAGCACTAACCCCTAAACCCTAAACCCTAAACCCTAACCCCTAAACCCGAACCCCTAAACCCTAAAGCCTAAGCTCTAAACCCTAACCCCTAACCCGTAAACCTTAACCCCGAAATCCTAAACCCTAACCCCTACACCCTAAAGCCTAAGCCCTAACCCAAAACCCTAAACCCTAACCCCTAACCCCTAACCCCTAAAGCCTAAGCCCTAAACCCTAAAGCCTAAAGCCTAAGCCCCAACCCCTAAACCCTAACCCCTAACCCCTAAAGCCTAAACCCTAAACCCTAACCCTAACCCCTAAAGCCTAACCCCTAAAGCCTAACCCCTAAACCCTCACCCCTAAATAAACCGGCAGCAGCCCAGGAGTCTGGGCGGTCCCTCCTCGAAGCAGCCAAAATTCGTGCACTTTCCTTGCCAAGCCAGGGGACCTGCATCTGAACTTGGGTGGCACTTTGGGAGTTAGGATTTAGGGGCTAGGGTTGAGGGATGTGGGTTTTAGCGTTTGGGGTTTAGGGGTTAGGGGTTTAAGGTTTAGGGTTTGGCTATTGGGATACGTAGGGTCAGGGGAATTTGGTAAGTAGGTTACTACCGGGGATAATTGGATTTTTAAAGCCCTACTTACTCATTTCCCCGGACTCTCCAAGTAATCTTCAAGTTCCCTTACGGGACATACTCATAAAAAACCAGTCAGGAACTCTTCCCAGGAAACTGTTCTTGGGCCCACCACTGGCGAAATGTCCGCCATGGAGCAGCGGATAGTTACGGCAGCTGCAAGGGGAGCAGCATGTGAATTTGTACAGAGGGGGTGCGATACAATACGCTCCCAAGCCTTCTTGGGATTGTCCGGCGGCGGCCAGAATCTCGCCGTGACGGAGCTGGTGCTGCAGGCAGCTGCCACATCGATCAATGCAGAAGCGCTGGAAGCCATAGAGCAGATGAAGCTTGCTCAGTGTGTAAGCTTTAGCCGGTTTGGGGGTAAAATAAGACCCAGTACAAACCGAAACGTTAAACTTGCAAACGCCCTGGATACCGGTCAGCGAAGGAAGAGAACAGGGACCCTAACCAACACCAACATCTCGCCTCCGCTTTGGCAAGCATTGGAGCACGAGGCGCGAGTTCTCTGGCAAGCTTTCCGGTGCGTGTTCCAGGCGAATCTCGCTGTCAAGGAATTTTAATTACTTACATGATGAGCACGTCATACTTTATGAACTCTGGCTGATAGTGTAGAATCCAAAATAGCTAAACCAAAAACTCCAAACCCTTAATACCAGTATTGTGGCCCCAGATTCCTTCTAGCGCCGTATGTCGAATAGACCTCAACATCACATTGTTAGTTGTGAAGGCTACCCTACCCTAGAATCCCTATAAACCTTTTTCTTTCCATTTGATTCCTCAGTATTGGCATCAGTTGGGCCCATACAGCATATCCATATTATGCTAATAGCCCTCAAGGCTACTCCTAAAGCCTAAAGCCTACATCCTAAACCCTAAACCCCAGCAAAAGAGCCCCCTAAGCCCTAATTCCTACATCCTTAAACCTAAAACCCTGCAGCCCTAAAACACTAAAACCCTAAAGCCCTAAATCCTAAACCCTAGTGAAAGAGTTCCTTGACAGCAACCAAGGAACCCAAGCCTCGCTGACTCCTGTGGGCCTTGTGGAGGGAGCCTATTTGGGTGTTTGGGGTTTTGGGAGTTTAAGGTTTGAGGGGTTTTAGGGTTGAGGGTTTAGGGGTTTTGGGCTTTCAGGTTTACGGGTTTGGGACTTAGGGTTTGATGATTTGGGGGGTCCGGAGGAGCCTGAACACTTCTGCCGAGTTCCTGTGCTGTGTGACCCCGGGCTCAGAAAGCACTCTTCACCAACGTCTCGTGAGGTTTCCTGGTGGCAAAATCAGGACTTTTGGGCCTTCATCGACGCTTCGTGAGGTTCTAGGTAGCACAATCAGGATTCTTATTGATTTTCGTAAGTGTTTCAGCAGAGAGCTTATCTATCAAACACTCCAGAGGCATTTGCAGGTAGCAATTCAGTACATTATCATTGATGTCCCCCCAACCTGATCCGAAAAGGGATCCTATTCATGCATGGCTTCTTTGGGCCTTTGAGCCAGTAGAGCCTTGGTTTGGGAATCTGGTATAATTATCATATCCCTGAAGGCCTTGTGAGGGAGCCTGCTGACAGACCATCTGAAACCCTTTAACCTATAATCTAAAGCCTAAAAAGCAAGATTTTAAACTTGAGCTTTAACCCCGTAAATGCAACCCCTAAACAACAAGCTCACCCCTAGGCTTATACCCTATATGATACCCCATATTATGATCCCACTATAACTCCCCCATACCCCCTATAATCCCTAAATTCTACCTCCGCACAGCCCTACAACCTACAACCCTAAACCCTACAACCTCCAAGCCCTACAATCATACAGCACTAGATCCTGAGAACCCTGAACCCTATATCCCTACTCAAGCACTGAATCCCTACGACCTAAAACCCCTACGCATCCCTGCATTTCCCTTCATCTCCCTACGTGGCCTTACATATCCCTCTCCATCCGTAACAATAAGCTCAAACCCAAAACGCCTAAACCCCTACACCCTAAGCCGTTAAACCCCTAAACCCTGAGCCCTAAAACTTGTAAACCCTAAACTCTAACCCTAAATCCCTAACCCCTAAATCCCTAAAACCCTAAACCCTAAAGCCCTAATCCCTAAACCCCTAAGCCCTAAACTCAGGTTTGGGAATTTACCGGCGGGATGGCCTTTGGCAGCTTCAGGGCTACCCGGGATCCTCCGGGCCGAGGCGGACGAGGTGGATGAGCTGCTAGGGATCAGGGTCTTAAGGTTTTAGGGTTTTGGGGCTAAGGGGTTTAGGGTTTAGGGTATAGGGGGGCTTAGGGTCTAGGTTTTAGGGTTTAGGGTGAAGTTCAGGGTTCAAGGTTTAGGGTCTAGGTTTTAGGGTTCAGGGTTTAGGGTATAGGGGGGCTTAGGGTCATGTGGGTTTAGGGTTTAGGTATGAGGCTCTAGGGTTCAGGGTCAAGTTTAGGATTCAGGGTGTAGGGTTTGGGGGATGAGGTGGATGAGCTCCTGGTGAAGATCACTTGCTCCGCGCTTCCTGGCAAGGTTTTCTATTAGGCTTTTGCCTTTTGTCGTTTGGGTTTAGGGTCTTAGGGTTTGTGTTTTTTTGTTTATTTTCGTGTGTTAGGATTTTGGGGTTTGGATGTTGGGGTTCAGGGTTTTTGCTGACCAGCTCCACGCTAACCGTGATCATGAGAAAGGAGAGGGGTATGCATTGAGAGTGTCTGGTCATTGTTGGATGTGGTGTTGAATTTGGAGGCTATAGGGTTTATGGCTTGGGTTTACGGGATGGTCTGCTGTTTTTGATTAACATTCCGAATTTTTTCAAATATCTGAACCAGATGTAGAAGGACAATGCTCATTTTCCATTAACAAGATTCTAGGCTATTATGGCACAAATCCTCACCCGTAAGCTGAACGCTCGGAAACTTACCACCTACATCCTAAACACCCCAGCCCTAAATCCTAAAACCCTGGACCAGGCTACTGGGAGAGCAGGGCGGAGATTGGAGAGTTCGGCCTTTGGAAGACACAATGTTCAAGGCTTGACAGTTAGGTCATTTCCTCGTCCCACGGTAAGAGTTACCACGACGGGTGATAGGACATCCCGTAACAAGACACCTTTAAGCTGGGTTGCTGTTGAGAAACTTAGATTAAGCTACCATATTTTTGGCTTCTAGCAAATGATGGGCTTACTTACTATAGTAACTGAATGTAACTTCAGCAACAGCAGCCCAGTAAGGCCAGATATTGCCGAAATTATTCCCAACCCTATAAACCCTAACTAAACCCAAAACCCAAAACCCTAAACCCCAACCTATTAGACCCTAACTAAACCCTGAAGGCGGCAGTCGAAGCAGCCAACCTGCAGGCCGTGAACTTGACGTTGAAACTGGGTTTGAATTGTAGTTTTTGTTTGAGATGTAGGGTTCGGGGTTTTGATGTTCGTTTTAGGGTTTTAGTTGGTTCTAGGTTTGGGGTGTAAAGGGTCTAGGATTAGGGGGTTGTTGTTGAAGAGCTTTTCAAATTTTTTGTACAATGCAAGAACCAAACAGAGATTAGATTAGATTTGCCAGTAGGAATCGCTTTGTTGTGTATACTTGAAGCCCTTACGGGTTAACGCTGACTCATCTTCAACATGACCTTACTTAGAGTCAACTTACCTCTGCGTAAGGGAGCGTGACGGAGTGGATCCCTATAATAACCCTATGACAGCAGTTTATGGAGGTCGGGAACAGGACTTTTGATCAACTACTATACTCACTCCCCCACTCCCTTTACCCCAAACCCTAAACTGAAGCACCAGTAAGTAGGGGTTTCCCAAAATGTGTACCATTTTGGGGGTCCCGATAAGAAGTATTATAGTGTTTCGGGCTCTACCCCTGTTTCGGAAGCTACCAAGTCAAGGAAATATTGCAGGGGGAGCCCCAGACTTACAATCCACGAGGCTCGAGATCTCTGGCACCTTTCCAGCAAAGGCCCAGATGTGATGCAGCTGATCGCGAAAGA